CATGATAGTGTCTTCAGTGTGAATTATATGGTTTGATTACAACAAAGTGTGAACATGATTTTTTGGGGTTTACCCTGAAGTTGATGAGTTTAGTTTCAGATACATTGTATATGAAATTGTATTAAGAATATTTTGTATTTTTTTAAAAAAAAGTAATGTTATATGTTAAATTGTATTTTAATATAATTTGTTGTTGTTTTCTATGCAAAGTCAATGGTTTTGGCGGCATAATGTAGCCTTTTATCTTCTCTCTCTTTTGCTAGCTTTTCATTTCTGTCTCCACTTTCTTTTCTGTATTCATCTATCTCCTCTGTTTTCTTCAAAATTCTCTATGTTCTTTACTTTAAGTCTTTTAGTCTTCGTTCAAAGAATCAAGGCTTCCTAATAATTTCACTTTATATACAAATTTTTCTATTAAAGTCACAAGGTTTCTTAAAATTTCTTTGTGTAGATTAAAAATGACCCATAGTAAGGAATTGCGAGAGTTAGAAGCATAGCTTGATGCTGTTTGTGCTGAGATGGAAGACATTCGAGGGCAAGATCCGACTAATATTGAAGAATTAGCCAACATCAAAGCTATACATGCGCTAAAGTTACAAAAAGCAACGGTTTTATTATCGCATCTACATCAGCTTCGGGAACAGTGTGTTGTAGAGCTATATTTTCAATTAGGGAAAGATAAGAGAAGGGCTTGGATAGAATATGGCATAATTGGGCCGATTGTTGAAAATGTTCAACCTGCAGAAATAATTTTTTAAAATGGCAAGGGTAGTGATGTGGGTAGGACTGTTGGTGTAAATATAGGAAATCTTGTGGAGCAAAATACCATAGGTGGAAATGCTCAAGTAAAGAAATTGGATGAAGATGTTGGTGATGGCAGTGATGCAGGGGAGGAAAATAGTGATGCTAATGAGCAAAAAGAGGAGGGTGATGGTGATGATGAGGTTTGGGAAGATGTTGTTGATGAGGATGTGAGAAATGCTACATGAGATCAAGTTGAAAATAATGTTTATGAACATTAGGAAAGCTGGGACTTTTAGAAAAAAAAAAAGAACAATGCAAAATCCTCTTGGAGACAACTAAAGAGTAATGTTGAGAGTATAGGGGAAGACGGTCTGAGTAACTGGGATTGTAAACAAGGAGAGGGAAAGTCTCAATCTTCATGGGATTTTGATTATAGTTTGAGTAACTGGGATTGTAAAAAAGGAGAGTGAAACTCTCAATATTTACAAGATTTTGGTAAAAAGGAGGATCTGGATGAAATCTAAAATAACCTAAAGTCTTAAAAAAAGTTGGTAGAACGTTTTAAGAAGTGGAAGTTTTAAATGTTAATGGAGTTGATCGTGGCAGGAATTTCTCTTCCAGCGGCAACAATGGAAACAAGATGACGGGTTACGAAGATAACATTGGGTCAAAGAATTTATTGTTTAGTGAATTAGATTAAGAAACTGTTAGGTTTTTTGTTTATTATGAGTAGGTAGTAATCAATATGTTCATTTTGTTTAGATATGAGTAGCAATGTGTTGGTGATTTGCTTGCCTTTGTAATAGGTTACTGTACTTATTCTTATGTGAACTGAATGAAGTTTTAATTTTGTGATAAAATGATTAAAGTTTAATTGGTTTATGGATTTGTTTTATTGAAATGAATAGATTCAAATTTGTGAATGTTTTTATGCTATATTGTTTGGATTGTAGTTTTTCAAATACAAAATTCCTGATTATTTGATATTTCTTATATGATTTATGTATGTAGTACTTGTGCATAATATATACAATTAAATATATGAATACCAAATAAAATAAAGTAATTGTTGTGAAGTGTAAAATGCAATTTGGAAGAATAGAATATGTCTAATACACTTTTTTGGAACATATATAAATGTCTAGATTTATATGAACAGAAGGACAACTAAAATTTATTATTATATGTTGTCTTATAAAATTTTTGAAAAAAGCAATGCAAGATATCTAATCACTTTGTAAGCTGTCTAGAAGAGTATTTTGAGCTAAGGAAACTAAATCTAATGAGGAAGAAAGTCTCAATCTTTATGAGATTCTGATAAGAAGTTTAAATATTCATCAAGTTGAAGTTATGAGTTAATTAGAATTAGAGAGGATAGTGAGAAATAGAAATTTAGGGGGAAATCAAGTACTTTAAAATAAGAATAATGGAAGTTGTGTTGGTAGGTGTAGTTCCAACAATTAAAATTATAATAAAAGTCCTGATGGATGCAGCACTGGTAAAAGCAATGAAGATGGTAAATTCTCTTGGTTACGACCAAAGAGTAATGCTGAACTGGGAAGTCTTTCAGGCCTAAGAAACAAGGCGGTCTGGGTGTGTAAGATTGTATTACCTAAAATATTGTAGCAACAGAGAAATAAATATGGGATGATGTTAATAAAAAATGAAGTTTTTGGCTTAGGTGGGTGAATCAGCATTATGTGAGAAAAAAAACGAAAGAGAGTGGGTTGTCGTGTAGAAGCTGAATGGCAATGGAAGAAGATTTGAAAAGTGAAGTACTAGATTAAAAGAGGCTTTATTGGAAACACCTAGAAGCAAATTGCTACAAGTTATATTGTGAAATCATATTATCAATGTCTGCAGCCTGCTAAACCTGATGCGAGTTTTTTTAATTTGGTTAGAAATAGGTATAACATTCCCAAACACAAATTGACACTTTGGATGTATGTTTGAAGAAGACTCGGAACAAGGAATAAGCTTCTGTAATTAAAAAGCTTTTGGATTTTAGGAATTTAGTTACTTGTAATTAGTGATGCTGGAGGACTTAAAACAGATTCCAAAACAAATTTACAGAGTTTAAGCTATACTTTGGTTTACAGCATATGCCAACAAATAATTGGACAGTGTAGAAAGGAAAAATCAACAGGCATGAAGCAGTAGTTAATTGAATTTGTATAGATGTATATTATAGAATCTGTAAAATTATTTCTAACAAAGTTAAGGTTAGGACACTAGCTTGGCTAGGGGGCTTATGCCTAGGGGTTTAGAAACCTCAGTGAAACTCTTATTTGTAATTTAAAAATTATTTGACTTTTTTAAAAAAAAAATTAAGGAGATAATGCTGAAAGTATTGGTGAAGATAGTATGAGAAACTAGAATGCTAGCAATAAGATTTTATTAGTTATGCACTATGCTTATTATGCCTTTAGCTTTCATTTTTACTCACACGAAATCAGTAAAAAGAAGAGTTGTACTCCCTTATAATCACAATTCTACAGCTACAATTGGGTATTGTAGTTGCTTACATCGATTGCAACAATTGTGGTGAACGTTGTGGTTTTGCTGCCAATGTATTATTTTATTGCCCTCAATGTCCTAACGAAAATTCAATTTTGCTGATAGGTTAGATTCTAAATTCTTTTGCTAGACACATAGTATTTTTACATGTCTAATACAAATTAACAAAACTATTGCATAGTGAATTTTGACATATGATGCCGATGATAGCAATGCATCTTTCCAACTTACTGCTTTAAGACAAAAAAATTATATCCTTTTTCTTGGTCAAATCTAAACTATAATTATATTCTATATTTTACAAATTACATCCATTTAATTTTTTTGAGGCTTAATAGGATGACTTTGAAAATATTGCTGAATTTTCAAACCCAGACTTATGAACATATCACGCCGAAAAAACACTCGGTAACATAGACTTCTAAGTTTGAATGGTTCAATCAAAATTTTAAACTTTTTTCGTCTTTAAAAAAGGGCACGAAAGTTTCCACTTACAACTAGCAAAACATTTACACACACTTTAAAATCACTCAATTTTTTTATTGTTTTTTTTTTTTTTATTTTATTAAAGTAATCAGAACTGATATGCACAACTTACTTACACAATACGAAGTATATATTTAACCAATACATCAAAATATCATTATTGTGAGATTGTAATACCACTTATTTTTATAAAAAAAAACATACTTTATTTCATTATACAATACAAATTATTCCTACATTTAAAGGAAAACACTAAATTCTCAAAGTATATACAAAAATTAAAACTAAGAAAAACGATCAACAATATCAACACCCGATATTAACAATTCTTAATTCATATATATCAGTTTTAATATTAAAAATATAACTGGTAATTTGTACTCTGCACAATCAAACAATAGTATAGTATCATTTGATTTGGCTAATTTTTCAATTTCATTAAGTCGGATTTTAATTTTAACATTATATTAAATGATTGTCACTTAATTAACATAACAAGTCCTTTAAATTAACAAAAATTCTTATGAAACTTGTTTTGCTTTATATTCACTTAGTATTGGGAACATTTGTAACTTTACTGCTTTTCTATACTTCATTCATAGCAACATAAGTGTCAATACAAATTAATTGTGTGTGATATAAATAATTAATAATGTCAGCATATTTCAATATGAAATAATTATTGTTACACATTCGTTTCAATAATTTATATTTCATACAAGAATAAATTCATGCACAAACTTACAAAAACTAAACCAAATAAATTATTTTTACAACTCAGTAATAGTCTACTAAATTGTATTAACAAAACGATGCACATAGTAATACGTAATAAATACTATACATACAACAGAAAGCCGTTTGAAATATATTTCGATAAAAAATGACTATCTCTTAAACATTCATTGCAATAATTTATATTTCATAATACTATGAATTCAAACACAAAATAACAGTGACTAATTCAAATATATTTATATAGCTCTTTATAAATAGAATCCTAATTTGGATTAACAAAACGCACAAAGGTGCTAGGATCACTACTACATTTTTGACCAAATGCAACGACCTAATAAAGTCTACTGCAACGGTATTCTAATTGCCGTTGCAATAGAGTAGGCTATTACCACGGATTTAACACTAATGTTCTTAGAGGTATAGCTATTGCCACGGCTGTAAAGAACCGTTGCAATAGCCCTGCTATTTTAACAAAAATGACGACTATTGCAACGGCATGTGTTCTATCATGAAAATACAGAATGAAGCGCTCATTTCTTCCCTCTATTTTTTTCACCAAATATTTTGAACAACACTTGTAAGAATTTGCTTCCCTCTATTCTCAATTCTCACGTACAGAAGTACATACAGTAGCTTTCAATACCCCTTTTACTCCATTTTCCCCATTGCCAATTTCTCACCATTTTCCCCAACTTCTCAGATCTCATAACTTCAATTCTCCAAAAATACTTCAAATTTTGAGACGAAAATCACGAAAAAAAATACTCCAAAATTGTAAGAGGAAAATAAGCAAAGAAATCACTAAGGCGACACTCCGGCGGTGGTGGCTGAAGGCGGTGGTGGCTGAAGGCGGCACAGGCGGTCTCAATTTCATTTTGCATGTCCCTTCCTTGAGCTGATTGCTCGAAATTCTCTTCAAGGTATTCAATGAATTATCGTTTTGGGTTAATTAAATTTGAAGTTTTTGCTTTTGCGTTTGGAAATTTGTATTTGATACCATGGAGATGAAGTTTCTGCTCTAGTAACTCTTAGAATTAAACGGCTAATGGATTTTGTTTAGCAAAATTGATTTTTTTTATTTTATTTTTTTTGAAACCTAGAAGTACTGAATGTTGATTATATTGGAGTAGTCTAATGGGGATTTTTTGGGGGAATTTCATATAAATGGATATTAAGAAGATATAATGATTTGGGGTGGCTGATTTGGGGGAATGAGGCTTCTTGCATGGTGTTAATTTTGAGAAGAAAAAACATAATAAGTTGAGTTGCTTTGGAAAAATTCAGATTCGCCAAAAGTCTTTGGTTAATTTATGATCTTTTGGCTAATTTTCTGACTTTTAATGTTTCCTTGGACAAACTTCTCTACTGGTTTGAGTAAGAAGTTGCATGTTCTGGCATACTTTATTAGCGGGTAAAGATGTTCAAGTCGAGTGCTTAATTGCTTAATTTACGAGTGATGCTTGCCAATTGTTGGGTCCAAGATATACTGATTTTGTCAATAGTTTGGTTGATCATCAGTCCATGTTATTTAATTCTGTTTAGTTGATAATTAAAGATGGCATTTGAAGTCTGAAAGAGTTGCATGGCCCTTTATTGTGATCAAGGTGTAACAAGTAGATTGCTTGGTGATAGATTTACAGAAAAGAATAGTATGAGCACGCGATTCACTCCCTAGCATCTTGTCTGATTGTGGGGTATGTGTCTCATACTCGAGCAGTTATGTTGCTCGTATGCGTTCAGGTGTCAGATTATGCTATTTTACGGGAAAAAAATTCCATGTTTTTGGTCCAAAATGAATTGTAAGTGCCCATACACTCATGTCAGAGAATAGGGGGATTCCACATTTACTTGAGGCCATTTAATGAGTGTAGAGAAGTGCAAAGGTTATTGTTAGCTTATCTGGATCAAGTAATACTTTGTTTTCTTTGAGTGTTACAAATGATTGTTGATAGACAAATAGACTTTGCCTGACTATGAAGTTTGCAGGCACTTAGCATTATGTGTTGAAGTTATCATATTATTCTTTACTCTAAGCTAAGTTGGGAAATTGTCAGTCAATTTAACACAAATTTATCAAATAACCCAATTACAATTTAAGCAAACCAAACAATACCCAGCAAGCCAGGATTTATTGGGGCAGGGGGTCAAGTTGGATAAATTATAGCTTGTTAATGTAAAGAAAGTCTTCTTCCTCACAATGCCGCCCCATTTCCCAGTGAGAAAATTAACAGCTTTCCACATCAACCAAATGAAACTCTTCAAATTCTCTCCTCCAATTTTCCATGTTTTGATTACCAAAAGCATATTGTAGTAGATACTCAATCATTCTCAGATATTCTCTTAAAAACTCTTTAGTCAATTACATCTTTGACTAACTGAAAAATCTCCTCTATACCCTTTCAAATTCAACTTCTCAAAAAACCCACCTAAAATTAAAGTTTTCAATGGCCAAATTTCAATATATTTATACCAGTATCAAAATTTCTCAATCACAAACTCTCACATTCTACAATCCCGTTTCAATTCATTAAAAAAGGCGAAACAAATCAGTGCAGTTTAATTAAATTTCCAGGTTTTATCTATTTTGATTTCAAATAAAGATCAAAACTTTTGATAGATTTCTGTCAAAAACTACAACGATGTAACAATATATCTAAACTTTAGTATAATGTAGCTTATATAATTGTTCTCTACAAAAATAAAATCGGAATTAATTGAAAAGATAGAGAAAATAATTTATCCAATTTAGCATTATGGAGCACATTTTGTGGAAATTAGTAAAGTGTTGTTGCCTTGTGGGAATCAAGTTATGATTTGATATAGGGAGACTGATTTGATAGTTTTGGTGGCATATCTTTGTATTTTTGGTGGCATCTATCTTATAGATATAAGACTTTAGTGATCTAGAAGTACTGAATGTTTCGGGGTGCTAGTTGTTGGTGTAAGTTGTACCCTGTTGTAAGTACAATAGGATGCATTGTTCAGTAAATGCCCGACTTGCATGGTTGTTGTTGTTGTTGCACAACCCCAACAGGGTATTCAAGTACGCATGTCAAGGTCTCTTGTGGTTTTCTGATACATTGCATCAAAATTGAAGTCAAGAGCTATATATATTACAGTCATGGCAGTACTCTTTTTTTTTTTTGGGGGGGGGGGTGGATTGAGAGACTGAAAAAGCATATAATAACATCTCACTCAAGTTTTCAGACACCAATTCACTGTAACAGTCTTAGACAATTTATCAGTCACTACATATGTAAATCAAAAGAATTCAGAGAATGCACGAGTAATTATTACCATATATCACTCTTGTTTGCCCTGATATGAAGTGCTTGGTTATCTATAATCTATATGCTATTAGATTGCTCAAAATAAATTAAGACAACTAATTTTCATACTAAAACTGAAGTTAACTAGCTACTTAGACTCTCAAGTAACGAGTTTCTTGCCTTTTTCATACGAACCCCTTAAAGACTCATTTCTAGTTGCTCTTCTAGAGATTGTAGCTCCTCTATTTAGTACCATAATGTACCCACCTGTTCAACAGTTGCACGATCTGCTTTCTCCGTGTTCTTTGTTTTACCAATAGCCATCCCCCATACACTCTCACGAATTGCAGTAGTGATTGAGTTGGACATCCCAACATTTGTCCTACCCTCCCATTCCTTTAAAAACAAAGAAACATAAATTAAAATACTCAAACGTCATTGAAGCAATGAACTTAGGATGACCACAAAGTCTACAATAATAAATCCCCCTACCATTCTCCATCACTGTTATTCGAGGATTTTAATTAAAACTGATTTTGGCAGGAAAGTTTGTTAAGCTTGTAAATTTTGCAATTTTGTCATTTTTTAGTTAGTTAGAAGTGGGATTCTTTTCTGTTAGAGTTTGTGTAGCTGTAATGAACCAACCAAACCAATTCAACAACAATGTTTTGGTCATCTATCTTTAGATGAGTATTTTTTGTGTTTAGAAAACTATCACGTCTCTGCCATCCTAATTATTTAATTAGTAAACCCTAATTATAATTAATTATAACTATATGTATTAGAGTTGGACAACATATATTGCATGGAGGGTGGTGGGAAGCACATGATCTTTTCTTAAATACCAACAACAATGCAAGGATCAATTAACAGGAAACCACGTTTATTTATGGTTAATTGGCTCATTTCATTCATTTTAGCATTGGCTCAGTGTGAATCAAAGTATTATCATGGCAAACACCATCATGCCTATACCAACCTCTTCTCTTTTTCTATTTTTTTTTTTTACTTTTTTTTAATATAAATACTTGTTCGTATTTCCTTTATCTTTCGTGTCTTTTTTACATGTGTGTTATCTTAATTATTCACATGCATGAAGTTCAATCACATGAACTTATTGGAGCTTATTAAAACTTGGTGTAACTGTCAATTAAACTTATTAGATAATTAACCCATCCATATCAAAACTTGAGTTTATTCATTCTTATTTGAACTTAATTTATTGTAGCAAGTGATAATAAGGTTAGTAAAACAAAGTCATTAAAAACATTATACGAAGTACAACTCTTTCGTGTTGGTAAAAAATCAAAAATTTAAAATTTGCCGTACAATAATTTTTAATATTTGAAGTTGTAAAAAATAGAAATTTCTGAACTTGTAAATTATTTAAAACTAGAAATATATCCATAGCTAGCTAGTATTAAAACAAAATTTTGTTTATTAAAACAAAAATGATTCAGCTTAATTAGTAATTTATGTGTATCATGCTAGCTTTATCACCAGTTATTTACTACTAGTACTGTTGTATGTACTTTCTAGTAGTCTAGTACTACAAGACATGCACAGCTAGCACCATCATTTCGTCATTGCATCGCTAATTTATAGTTTTTACTCCATAATCCAACTGCCCTTCGAGTATTTTTATGTTTTCCTTGTTTTTCGTTGCCCAAACTCTAGTCTATCTTGATTTGTATTGTTTATTTGATGGTGGCTCTTAAAATACTAGAAGAATGATTATACTTTGATATGGGTTCTCCCCAATATTATTAGTTTAAGGTATTTTACTTTCCTTACTATTTACACTTGCCTCTTTTTAATATCTCGTTTCTTTTTAATTGTTACTAGATTAATGTAAAGTGAGTCATAAATTTGTATGAATATAACTTTGATAGTCCTTGCTTATTACAATTGATAAAGTTGTCCTTGGCAATAGAATTACACTAGTTTTAAGTATTCTGATTTTTAGAGTAGTTCTCTTTCAAGTACTAAATCATTCATCATGACCCACTGTAACATGAAAAACAAACACTGTCAAGTTTCAATTAACAACTAGAAAATCATGCTTCAATCTTCTACCATAAGTTACATTATATTGTATCGTGTCATTTTCTACCTTATATGAGCAATTTATGACTGATAATGTCTAATTGTTGATAGCATGTAAAATGCAGATAGTGAGTAGTCGAGTGTAACAACTAAGGTCTTGTTATCTTCAACTTATTAATCGATAATTTAGGAAATGAAGTTACCTTGGTGGGATCACCAGAAGGGTCATGGTATATCTCAATGTTTTCCTTAGGGGCAGAGACCTTGCTACCGAGTTTTTTAACAGAATCAACCACATCCTTCCCAGCTTCTTTCGTTGCAAACATGCGGCGAGATGCCTAGAGGTCTATTATAATTTATAATTTAGTTTAATTATATTTCTTTTATTTTTTTCAATTTTACGTGTAGGTGAATGGGGAGTCAAATGGAGCGGAAGTATAGTGACTAGCCATCTAACAAATGGTGCATATATGTTGGCGACTCTTATTCAAGTTCCGGCTTTGTGAAGATTTGGATATTTCGGCTTATATATATGTTGACAATTTGTATTTTGGACGATCAAATTAATTATCTAACTTTTATTTATTATTAGTACGGTACGTATGTCATACCAAAAATAGGCAAGTAATATTTTGTAATGTACGTATTTTGCATTATAATTATTATATATAAATGATACTTTAATTTGTTTATGTTAGTATATTTAGATTTGTACCGACTAATTAATATTATATTACCATTCACCCAACAAAAAAAAAATAAAAAACCCAATGATCAATCCGTTGCAGTAGATACGTACTCCGACCATTATTGTATCAATTAGCTTCATCCGTTGCAATAGGTTCAATTTCATCATAATTATTAGTCAGTACTCTATTTCCACGGATAAGTTATGCCGTTGCAATAGGTTCAATTTCATCATAATTATTAGTCAGTACTCTATTGCGACGGATAAGTTATGCCGTTGCAATAGGTATTGGTCTATTGCCACGGATCAGTGGTGCCGTGGCATTAGGTGTCATAAGCCGTTGCATTAGACCTACTGCAACGCCAGCAGATGCCATGGTACATGGCTGTTGCATTAGGCCTAATGCCACGGATTTTGACGCCTAATGCAACGGATTTAGGGGTTGCAATAGATCAAAAATGTAGTAGTGGATGACTGAATAAATCTATATTCCGTGATTAAATACCAATCCTATCAATCAAAGTCTTCAAATCAGAACACTTAGTTTTTAGTAAGTTTCTCCTGACACTTTGGATATACTCTTGTTCGCTATGTTTTGATTGCTATTTAAGATCAGTATGTTGATTTGTAGACATTGAAATTCATCCTCAATTACTGGTTTACATGTATTCATTTAGACTATTCCTACTACTATGTAGTTTAAACATGTCATTTATTTTATTTGGGTTTGTATGCTTACATTGACTACCAGATTCTCCTTGTTTTGCTTATAAGCTTTGAAATTGTACTTCTTTCCTTTTAGTTTTATGCAAAAGGAATAATGAACTTCTTTGTATTATAGCTTCTATTACTACCTGTTTACAATGCATACCCTGATCATGTTATCCTATTCTTACAAAAAATTAGTAATTTAAATGTTTACTTATACATGTTCAGTTTTCTCAATTATTAATTGGTAGCTTAACTAAGTTTATGAACTGTCAATATACAACAGAACATAATATTTTCAATAAAGACACATTACAATAGCTAGTAATTTTGAAACTCAACATTCTAAGAAGCATAATAAACTTGATATCCTTATACTAGTTAATAGTTCATGTGGCAGAAAAAAAACTTAAACACATTACCTAATTCACAATAAGTTTTTCTCCCAAAAGCAAATCAGAAATATTAGTACTTAATATCTAATTCAAGCATTTACATCCTTACATCATCAGCAAAAAAAACAACCTTAGAATACTTCTAACGTTAATTCAAAACAAGATCGACATCAAATATACCAAGATCACCTTTTGTGTACTTAATGAATGCACATTTTGTGTACCTTTCAGTGAACTCCCTTACACCAGTCTTCAACGAGCATTGAGTAATTATATTGCCTTTCCTCACAATTTTCAGCTCCACCTCCAATTCCTCATCAAAGTTTTAAAGAATAACATTAGTTGTCTCACCGAATCCGCTTAAAAACTTCTTAAAAAAATTCAAAGGGACATTCTACAAACAACATCACCAAAACTAAAACAGAATTTTATTAAAAAATACTGCAAAAACCAGTAAAAAGTTAGCATATGTGTTTAAGCTTGTTAAGACTTACAATCTTTGCTTGCTGAAGATATACTTTTTTGAAAATGAACTTCAAATTCGATAAACGACAACCAACAACAATTTCATCAATCCAAGCATTCAATTCAATCATTTTTTTTTATTCCCTTCGATTGCAGCTTTGCGTCCTCGCCTCTTACCAGAATTAGAAGAACCCTTGCTGTATTCTGAACCTTGGACTTTCTTACTTGTTGTTGTTCTAAAAATGTGAATAAGAAATGAACTGTGCCCTGAATAGCTAAAATTCAAAACATCACCGGCCTTCAGACTATTTTCCTTCACAAATTTGGACTAGCCATCTCCCAAGATAACTTTTCACTCATCATTCTCTTCTTCATGTACCATGGTAACATACCAAAGTCTTGAATCACCATGAACTTACAATTCAACTCCTAAATTTCCATCATTTAACAATTCTTCAAACCCATTAGGAATAAACTGCATATGAATAAAAGATTCATCAAATTCAACAAAGAAAAGTATACCTAACAATACATTACCAGAATAAATGAAAAAGAGTTTAGGCAAATAATATTAAACCATACCTGATTTTTGTTATTCTCTGGTGCAAAAGGATTAGAAAACGTGAAAGAAAAATCAGCCATGCAAATTTGATGCAGCTTTTTGAGCTATATATGACTATGAATTTAATCTATAGAACTTGAAAATTTAAGCTAGGCTATAGAGCTATGCAATATATAGAGCAAGAAATATGAATCGCATGAATTAAATTATTTATTAATAATGCACATGTATCGAAACATATGGCTTTGACAAGAAAACTCATAAATAATATTAAGTTACATAAACTTTTTATCTCTAATATTCAATAGTAGTAATAATTACATGTTTTAATACCAATGCAATTTAGTTGATAAACATACAAAAGTTGTGAGATTTGGCATTATATATAGGATTACTTTAGCTTTATTCAATATTTGAGAAATAAAGTAACCTTAATGATTTATCAGCCTACCAATATTTAAACAATATTAACATTCTATTATACTATTTTAGCTAAATTATTAACCAATTTAAAACAAACAATTTATCCAAATCATGAATTATAATTCCAAAATCATAATTATACTATTCATTTAAATTAATTACATTCTATTGTACATATATATTAATCATTTTTAACTCCATTTAGAGGTATTATTGTTTAAATACATGCATGTCTATTTGTATCTTTGATATATATAAGATTTAAAATTAAGTGTAGATAATTTCTTTAACATTCTATAAATTAAGAAATATAAGAGTGGAAGCTATGATGAACAACTCAAGGAAATTATCTTTTTGTACACGTTTAGTTAAAATATTTTCAACATCTAATAGAATTTCAAAATTTTAAAAAACACCGGGTAAAACTTTTCATATTTCTTTGCATATAATTATTTTTAAAAACACAGTAATGTAGACACCCATTTTTGTCTCCCCAAAAACAAACCCATTGATGAGTACCTTTCACGTCGAATCATAATCGAATGAACTGAAAGTGTTGAAAGTTTAGTGTTGTGGAAAGTCTTAAATTCTTTTCTCTTCTCTCTGTTTTTGAAAACCTATTTCAAGAAACAGCCAATCTAGTTTCGTTGGTCCATGATATGGGTCCAATAATAGTGTAGTTGGATAGGGCTTGAAAAGATCTTTCCAACAATATATTATAACCCCAATTCCGATGAATATTGAGGAAGTTATGGCCAATTTACTGAATTGGACCCGGTTTGAGCCTTATATGCGGCCCAATGATCTAGAGGAGAGCCTAATATAGATTTATCATTCCTAATGCAATTAGGTGTGGTTTTAGTCTTCTAGATTCTTCTAGAAGGTTCTTTTCATTCCTAATTCAATTAGCATTGATAAATTGACTTTTGTTGACTTTTTAGAGTTTTAATCAGAATAAAAGAACATTTTTGAGGAAAATACGATTTTATCCTCCTGTACGGCAATTTCTATCTGATTTTAAGAAAACGCGTCAATTTATTATTTAGCGCCAAACGCCAGATGTAGCGCCTGTCGCTAATCTGGCTTTTTGCGTCAGAACTCTGTTTTGATGTTTTATCTTTTTGGCTAATTTTCTCTATAAATAACGTATTAAAAACTGTGTTTTAATGGACCAACTCTCATCAAGATTTTCTTGATTACTCTATCTCTCTCTTTTCTAAACTAGCCTTCTCTCAAATATAAAAATTCCGCATTCATTAGAATTAGATAAACCTAGCCATATTCGAAGTTGCCTTCGCCCTAGACGTGAAAGGTTTAATTTCTGAGGGTTTAGTCCCAAATCTCTATTTCAATTATTTAATTGTTTTGTTTTATTATTTTCCTTGAAGTTACTAACGTGTGTAGTTTGTTATTAGAAAGAGGTATGAGGCATCAAAGTAATTACTTTAATGTTTTTTATTGATATTATGATATAAAGTTCATGCTTAGGTTGTTTTTATGATATTCCTAGTATCATTTCTAGGGTAAATTTAATACTAAGTATGATTGTTATGATGCTTCCTATATTCATTCCTAATAGCATGTTAGTATCATGTTAGGGTTAAAGCTTTGATTTTTATTGTTTAGTGACATGCTAGGATTTGTTATTAATCTTGTTAGTATCATGCCTAGGATCTTATTATTATTATGCTTTAACATGATTATTATTATTTTTATATAATTGTTATAATTATTGTTATGATTATCATGATTATAATTATTATGATGATTATTTATTATGTTGCTTGATTTTTATTTGTTATTGCTTGATCACGCCTTTTATGCATGTTTAAAGGGAATTTGTACTTGTAATCACGCTTAATAAGATAATTAATAATCTTGTTTAGGGTTAATTTGATTGTAATTCAAGTGATCGCCAATAATAGATTTATTTGTGCATTAATATTCAACCAACATAGATTAAACAGGTTTAGGGTTAGTCCTATTGATTGCATGTTAGTCAGAAAGCGCACATGAGTACGATCAGAATAAAGTAGAGGCCTATTATTAGGGCAAGTTCAATCTCTTTTAGGTTGGATTTGTACCTTCATCACCGAACCCTATTTGGTTCAAGACCTTATGGAGTTGACGATCTCTTGGATCGTTAAGGGGTGTAACCTTCACCTCGTGAACGGTTTACAAGTTCCTAAAACTTGTTGGCGACTCTTTTGCTCTATCTTCTTTCCCTTTGGACGCCACCGTACTGTAGTGTATGATCACAGTGGGGTTCAAGCTAGGTGGTTAACGCTTGAAATATTCCCTACAAGTAACTATTAGTTTTTAGTTACTCTATTATTTGACAATTAGAAGTAATATTTGAGCATTTCCATAATTCTTGAAAAACATGGATTATAACTATCAGTTTGAAAAACATACTAAAATTTAGTCCATACAAACACTGACAATACTAGAAAACATGAAACACACTAATAATCAATACTTATATATAAATATATTATAATCATTAAACTTAAGGAAACATAATTTGCATAATTACAAAAATTACTTATGTTAAATTAATTCATAACTTCCTACAATGAGCAATTTCCATAGACAAAATTCTGAACTAATTAAGCTCTATACCTAAATCTTACACCAACTAAGCTCCATAGCTAGCAAATACCATCGAAATTTCTAGGAGAACGACGATAAGCATCTGAATCAATCGAAGACTCAGAATCATAAATTTCTTCATCACTACTAAAGTAATTTCCACTACCAGAACTAAAAGACTGATGCCCTCCATTCTCATTTACTTCCTCCTTAAAACCATATTCATCAGCTTCACCATCATCCTCATCATCATTATCGTCCTGTTTCACCTCTTCCTCTTCTTCTTTCTCCGTTACTTGCTCCTCTTCTTCTTCCAAATTATGCTCCTCTTCTTCCTCTTGCATGGGCACAACAAGAGATTCTTCTACTTTATTCACTGAAACAGAATGCTGCTCCACTTGATTATCCAAGACATCCACTTTTATCATGGACAACTTCTTTAATCACTTCCTTATCATCACTTATCTGCATGTCCGACTTTTTGGCCTTAACTTCACCAGCCACATCACCATTTCCATTATCAATCATACTCTGCATTTGAGATGATTCACCAACAATAAGCTCGAATTCGTAGGAGGAACTAAATCATCATCATTACCACAATCCGTAAGTTGCTTGTTTATCTCAATGAGCTCTTTTAGCAACTCATCAACCTTGCGTATCAAGTCCACTCGGAATTTAAGGATTGCACAGAGTTGTTCTTTAACATTTGCCTTCTTTTGATCAAGAAAGCAACGACATGCATGAAAAAATGAAGCTTTTTCATTGTTTTCACCCATTTTCTAGACTTAGAACAAGTTATTGAAGGAAAAAATAAAACTTTCTTTCTGACAAGATAAAAAATTATACAAAGAGATGATTTGTGGACATAAAAACAAATGAAGAACACTTGGATTATATAACCGTCAATTGCAACTCTTTCACATACATGTAAATTCATATTCTTTTCCAACCCCCTTTTACACAAAAAAAAAAAAAAATATTTGTCACTATTCACATAATTTACATATACCAAGGAAAAAACGTTCTAATTCAATGATTAAAACTTCTTAAATATACTTCATGAGAGCATTCTTAAAATAGATTAAAAAAAAAGATAGTATTATACTATGATTTAAGGTCAACGAACAACTACACGATAAAGTTCACTTCTATAACAATTAATAAAAATAATATTTACATTACTTATATGAACATAAAAAAATACACGAATGTTACAAAAAAAAAAAAATTGCTCGCAAACATGTAGAAAAATATAAAGTTAAATTATTATTTACAAAGGTTAGTACTAAATTACGATTCAAATTATAAAGGTTATTTTTAATATTGATTAAACAAACGAGTTTATCTATTTCTTGGTGAATATAGATCTAAACAATTTTCATAAGTTTTTTTTTGTTTATTATAAGATATTGTTATGTTAATTGAGTGATAATCGCTAAATATAATTTTTAAATGAAATCCGTTTTTTTAAAACTGAATAATTAAACAAATCATTGATGTTTGCAATGACAGGCTAACATTTCTAAGCCATGTTTAGCAATTGTTCCCAAATTAATGTTTGTAATGACAAGCTAACATTTCTTCATTATTAGAAAAATCATTGTATTATTCATTCTCACTAACAATGACAAGCTAACATTCCGATGTCTCATTCTCACTAACATATACCACTTATCCACAAAAATTTTACAAATCATTTATTCTCAATCTTGAATTGTTTACAAAAATGTCAATAAAATGCAAATAAATAAATCAGACACTAGACTACTAAAACAAAAAACTTAATCAAAACCTAAATGATAAATACTTAGAATTTTAGAAATCCACATGAACCAACTACAAAGGCTTAAACAAAAATTCAACCTACTAAAAAGCCGGGTGCCAAAGGTCGAATTCTCCTAATAACATCTACACTTATCAAAAGAGCAGCAAACTAAAACATATTACATTATTAATTCTTGTACCAACAGAAGTACACAAAAACACAGTTTCAATTTCCCCTATAAAAAAAACAAGGTTAGGCAAACAATCACCCATAATCTGACTTTCCATTAACACTTCCTACCCTGATACCATTTCGGACGACCATTAACTGTTTTTGAACTTTTTTTCTGACATAGATTGCTTAGCGTCTTCACGACGACGCTGGCCATCCATCCTAGCAGCATCAACAGCAGCCTGAAGTTCTTCCATTCTTCTATCTGTCTGCAACATATCTTCATTCACCTGCATCATCGACCCTTGCAATATAGCCATTTCTTCCTCTAACTCACTCTTCTAAGTCTGCAAATTCTCTAAACGGCAACGTAACAAAGGTAACTGCATCCAAGTGGCATAACCAACAAAAGGAACAGTTGTAGGCACTGCAGATGAGGAAGCTGACCCGATATTCTTATTTTCCATTCTAAAATTGAACAAATTTTCAGGTAAGTTAATACACAAAAGATGAAAGGAATGGTGTCCTTCGAACAAGTGTATTATTCTGATAGTGGGTTCAGAATTATTAGAAAGCTAATATATTCAGTAAGGTCAAGTGATTAGAATGCCTGGGTGGAGGCCGCTTCCGATCAGTAATATTAATATAATTAATATTACAGCTTAATCTTGACTGAATCCTTTGGGTCACACCCAAGCAAAATATACGAACCGACTCGACGAATTAATTCAGAAGAAATTAATTCGTCGCCCGAGTGTTAAATATTTAGACGTCGGTAATTCGAGCTTGGAGCGTCGAAACCGATCGTCGAAAGTCGAGTCAAAAATAATATAAAGACGAGACGCGCAAAATAATAATAAATCGACCATATTCCCAAAATACCCCTAGCATCGAAGTGCCCCGAGCATCCGAATGCTAGGGGAAAAAATGTCCAAGCATAGGTGGCTAGCAAGCGCACTAAGCCGAGCCTAGCATGGCTGGCTAGGTGCGTGCTAGCGCACCGTGACAGCAGCCACGCACAGCAGCAGCTAGCAGCCGCGTGCAGCAGCTAGCTGCCGCAAGCTAGTCGTGCTAGCAGCACACGCACTAGAAGCCACGCTCAGCAGCAAGCCCGCACCAAGTGCGTGGCTTGCGCGCACAGCATCAGCCCGCATCTTGGTGCGGGGCTGGGCTCGGGCTACGCTCGTGGCTGGGCTCGTGGCCGGTCACTATGGGGAAGCTTGAGGAATATGGGAGCAAGTGGGTAAGGACATGTGGCACAAGGAGAGTATTGAGTGGGGAGTAAGTATGGTCCCCTACTCTCCATGTGGTCCTCACCAACACATTTCACATGGTAATACCACTTGTAGATTTATTATTAGTTTGCAATTTTAATTTAATTTAACTTTAAATTAATTTGTGGAATTTTATGATCCCACATTGATGGGATAGAAATTCCCACTCATACTTTCCTCTATAAATACCAACCTTGGGAGTTGGAGTAAAGTGCTTGAGTGGGAGTTAGAAAGAGCATTCCATATTTTGGAAAAACTCTTAAACTCCATTAACACTTGGGTTTTTGTCGGACCTTGCTAACTCCAAGGTAGCGGACCTAAAAAGTCGTGTTCGTCCTTTGTGGGTGGATACCGTTGGAGGCACGACATTTGCGGTGCTCAAGGCTTTCAAGTAAGAGCCCGTTTTGAGAGGGCGAAACTCGCTTCAAGGGTATGATTCGTTGTTCCTTTTCTTGTGTTTATTTATTTATGCTTTATGGTTTTATTAATTACGAGTGGTTCCTTGGGTCGGGGTTGTTTCCGCGGTGAGTCGGATTCAACAAACCCCAACAGCGGTATCGGAGCCCCGCTCGTTTATTTTTATAATCATGTTTTTAAGGTTTATTTTGGCTTATTATTCTGGTTTAAGTTGCTAATTAGATTAGTAGCTCGATTTTATTTATTTTAATCCCGTTTTTAATGTCGAATTTGGCCCAGAACCTAGATTTTCGCCCATAAATAGTTAATTTTGGGTGAAAAAGGTGTTCTGGAAAGGTTTTTTTACCCCGAAGGAACTGTGATTTTAGCCAAATTCTGACCATAAATGCCTTTTTCGAGGGATTTTTCGTTTTTGACGAAACGTTTTAAGTCTTTTCTAACCTTGAAATTAATGGCATAACTTGTTGATTATGTGGTTGATTATTTGCATTATTTTCTGCATTTTTAAGTCCCCTTAAAGCACACTTACTTGGTAGTATTTGATGCTTAAAGGTTGATTTATTTTCACATGCAAACTAATTGCTTTTTAGTGTGAAATTTTTTGTTTTGAGGCTTCCTAAGTGTTAAAGATTCAATCTTTATTTGTGATAAGTGATTGAAACTTTAAAAACCACTAAATTCCATGTGATTTTGTGTTAAACTTTGTTGTTTTAATCATTTTTGAGCTGATTGGAAACATAAAGTTTCAATTTTTGTGATAGAAATTTGGTTATCTTCATGTTGGAAGATATAATTTTAAAGAATTCACAAAATTTAGATGTTGGAATTTTCATTTGAACATTAAAGTTCATATTTTTCCAACTTCCCCTTACTTTGTCAAATTCTCAAGTTCAATTTAAATTGATTAAATTAAAAGTGAGAAATTACCTCAGCTTTGTTATTGCACCAAGCTAAACCAATTTAATTAAGAATGGTTCTTGGAATTATTTTGGTTATTTGCACTTTGAAATTTTATTAAGTTAGATTTGTTTCAATTTTTTTTTTCTTATTGAGTTAGTTCTAAAACTAAATTAGGATTAATTAATTATGTCTCGCGAAATGGGATCAAATCCCGAGGCCATGGCATGAAAAACGAGGCAAAGAACCACCCTTGGCTAGTCGGGCTGCATAGCAGCCCGCATGTGGATATCCCGCCTTGCGTGCGGCCACACGCGCAGCAGCAGCACACGGCCGCAGCAGCCACGCACTAGCAGCCATGGTTGTGGGTGCGCGTGCGTGCGGCAGTGGAAGCAGCCCATGGCTGCTTGCCGCGAGCCGTGTTTGCGGAGTTTTTTGTGTGTGCATATGCTTGGTGCGGTGAGGTGAATAGCCGTAGTATGCTTGGTTTGCACGAGCCGCGATTATTCAAGATTCCTTGGCAAAACGCTTAAAGCGAAAGCCACTTGAAATGCGGTTGGCTTAATATTGCTTATTTTGCCGTTTTATTTATTTTAATTAATTTTGTTTATTTTAATTAAAATTTTAGGAGGCTAGGCCTCGGTTTTGAGCGGCATTGACAAAATTTTATTTTGACAAGTTTGGGTGCTACCGACTTAATTTATTGGATTAATTAAGGGAAATGCGGAATTTAGTGGGAGCTTCAATTAATTAATGACGTCAAATTACATAATCGGTTAAACAACTTTGACTAGTTTTAATTAGGCGTGTTAATCGGATTAACCACCTAGATTAGTTACTAGTGCGCGCGTTGTTTAAACGCATTTTACTTGTTTGATATTGTAAATTGCATGGGCCATTC